ACCCACAGCCAGTACAACCTGACAATGAGAAAATGGGTGACGAATTAGAAGTCCAAGTTAAAACTGAAAAAGGAGACTACACGGCTCGCATTCCATCGCAAGGGACGACACGTGTTGTCTTGCCTGAAACAAGTAAAAAATCAGGAACCACTCGCAATTTAAGAGACAGAGCTAAAATTAAGAAACCAGATAGATATCAAGCTCATGCCATTTATGCAGACAAAGAAGCTTCAACTTATAAAGAAGCCGTTGAGTCTAAAGAGAAGGAAGAATGGATAAAGGCAATGCAAGATGAGATTGAAAGTCATAAGAAAAATGGGACTTGGAAATACGTGAAGAGGCCAGCCAATGCAAGATTGCTTGACAGTAAATGGGTATACAAGCTTAAACGTAAAATGGATGGAACAATTGATCGATTTAAAGCCCGGCTTGTCATACGAGGGCATAGACAGAAAGAAGGCGTCGACTATTTTGAGACATTCTCCGCCGTATCTCGGTACGAGTCCATAAGACTTCTACTAAGTATAGCTGCAGCAAAGGAAATGCATATCGCACAGCTGGATGTCCAGACAGCCTATCTCTACGGGATTCTAAAGGAGACCATATACATGTCACAACCTGAGGGTTTCCACAATGGAGATGACTCCATCGTGTGCCTCCTGATCAAGGCTTTATATGGATTGAAACAGGCTGGAAGAACCTGGAATGAAACATTCACCGAATTTCTCGAGAAATTCGACTTGCACCCATGTTACTGCGATCCCTGTATATTTGTTGGAGATGTTGATGCAATAATCACTTATCTCAGCTTATGGGTGGATGATTCACTGGTCATTGGAAAAGATAAAAATGCCGTGCAGAAGATCATCAATGCAATCAAATCCTACTTTGAAATAACGATAATGGAGCCCACAGCCTATGTTGGGATGCAAATAATCAGAGATGGAAATGATGGTTTACTTTTGTCACAACCTTTTTACATCCGTAACCTGCTTGAAAAGTACAATATGCTGGAGTGCAACCCGACGAATGTGCCGATGCAACCTCATGCAGGAGAACTCGTCCCAGCCGCAACAATAAACGAGACCCTTCCGTATCGACAGCTCGTTGGATCATTAATTTACCTAGCCAAGTGCACACGCCCTGACATCTCATATGCAGTGTCCCGCCTGTATCAGTTTATGCACGCATACGACGAAACTCACTGGAAAGCTGCAAAGCAAGTCCTCCGCTATTTAAAAGGCACCGAGGAACTCGGAATCAAATACAAACCGTGTGAGGATATGATTCTCAGGGGATATACAGATGCAGATTATGCTTCCGACAAGATGGATAGAAAATCTACAACAGGTTTTGTCTTCATGCTAAATGACAGCGTTATTTCATGGTCAAGCCAAAAGCAACCCATTGTCTCAATGTCATCAATGGAAAGTGAATATATATCTCTCGCTTCTGGAGCGCGTGAAGCCGTTTGGTTACGACGATTTCTAGAAGAATTAGGATTCCCACAAGAGTCCCCAACAATAATTCATGTTGACAACCAGAGTGCAATAAAATTGGTCAAAAATCCAGAGATGCACTCAAGATCCAAGCACATCGATGTCCGGTACCACTACACAAGAGAGCTAGTTAGTACAGGACAGTTGGCAATTGAATATGTACATACTAGTGAACAAATTGCAGATGGATTAACTAAGCCACTACTGAAGACCCAGCATTTCAAGATGAGACACGATCTCAGTATGGAAAGAAATGAGACAAAGGAGAGCAAGGACAACCCAACTAAAGTAAAGAGAGGTCCCCTCCAAGCCAACTTCTCACTGATGAGCCTGCTCACCATCCTTCTTATGTTTATTACGCAAGCTTGTGGGGTGACACATCAGAATGCGATCCCTTTACTATGGAAAAAGAGTCCAATCCCAGTTACAACGGGATATAACCAAGTCCACTTGCTCGTCAAATTCATGAACCCGTGCGAAATTTTAACACAGGATCTACTACATAAGGATTTAAGTGCCTATGCAACCGAGAAATGTAACAAAATATACGACGAAATGTTCCTGGATGAGCTAGAAAAAATGTGCCCTAAAAGAAAATTCTCCGATCATATTAATTCGCGACATACTAGAGAAATTGGACGAAGAGTGAAGAGAGTCCTCCCATTACTTGCAGTTGGAGTAATAATTGGTGTGACTGTCCTTGTAGCCGGCTTATCAGTTGGTGGAGCAATCAATTCGTTTGTTCAAACTGGAAGAATCTCTGCTTTGCAAGGAACAGTAGCGGAACAAAGAGAGATGCTGGATGAATTGGAACGTCGCGTGGAAATATCGGAAAGAGAGATTGAGAAGCTTAAGGTTAGCCTAAATGCTACACTAGACCAGCTTCAGCTACATCAGCTTGATCACGACGAACTCAAGGGAAAATCCATTGACACCAATTTCGCAATTGCCTACCTTACCAGTCGCCTCATGATAGGTAGAGAAATAATTAGAGAAGCAACAAGACAGTGGCGGCGAGGAAAAGTTTACGCACCACTAATGGATTTCTTTAATTTCACGTTACCCTGTGGTGATGCTTGCCCAGTCAGCTTCGCACAATCTCAAAAGTGCGAAATATCAGATGACAGAACCAAGCTGTATGTGGACTTCACTGCAACTGAAATTAACAAAGATTTGCAACTCATCGAGGCAGACTCCTTCGATCTCAAAGTTGAAAGGGAGAATGAAACCTGCGTTCTAAAGTACAAGGGACCCCATAATGCCATCCTTTCTACGAAAGATGACTGCGTATACTCCATCAATGTTAAGGAGCCTACAACCCCCGACCTAATTGTTTCGCCCACTCGAGGATGCACGCCAACAGCGAAAACAAAGAACTCCAATCACTTTGACATAGACCACTGTTATGACCAGAACCTTGCTGGACCATGGGATTTTGTACAAATCAAACTACACCATGGACAATATCATATCTACTGCCCTGGGTCCAATATTACCATTGAGAGGAAGCTGCAACAATGCCCTGCTAGCGTGTTCATCCTTCCAATGAATGCTAATTTTAAAACAAATGATATTGAGTTTTCAGGAACTGAATCCAGCCTTGTTCACCAAGAGGTAGTCGACCCACTATTCACGATGAAAGCCAACTGGCACTTGCAGCCTAGTTTCAACTGGACCAGTCTGATGATCAATGGTTCCACTGACGAAGGAGGGTCAATCCACTACCACACAAGCAATGAACCAGCCTGATCAACAATGGAATGGATCTTAACCCTTTGCATACTAATAATAGTTGCTCAAGCCACTCTTTGTGTTTTCCTTTTTCTGAAAAGCCGGCCAAATGTAATTTCGGTTAGGGCAAATCCAGTGGAAACTGCCGATATTGAACTTTAAAAATTGAGGGATGATGTTAAAATATGCATGTTAACAAAGTTTTCCATATTTATCAATTTTTAGTTTGTCGACTTTTATGAGGGCTGAGCATTTTCCAACCTTTTTCCCAGGACAAGGGATTAAAAGGGTCCTTTTGTTTTTACGCCTCATTAGAAGGGACACTTCGTTTGAGCATAACTCTGCGTAGTTTGTATGGTCACTTCTGACCACATATTATTACATATGTATGAATGTCTCCTATGTACTGTCAAAACCTTAAAACCAAGTTGTTTAATAAAAATCACCATCAGTCTAAAAATATCTTCCAGCGAGATCATTTTTACTTTCAGAGGGGCATAAAAGTGAGTCAATTTTAAGCCAATATGTAAGCTATTCCTTAAGCTAAATAATTAATTATGGGGTGCACACTCAAGGGGGTGTGGCCGGCTCAACTGGGGACAACGAGATAAAACCTCCATCAGTTTTTCCTAATCTCATCGGGTGCTACAAAATATCCTAAGAGAATCAAATTCGGGGATGTCCAGTTGGGGTATACTCCTAAGAATTTTCCACTAACCAATCCTAAGAAATCTGTACTGGTGTACATAAATATGTACATATTTATATGTGCGTGCGTGTGAATTTATTTAATTTTAGTGGACAATTTCATGCGAACTAAATAGTTTTTATGAAAATTTAATAATACACTATAGTAAACCCATAGTGGTTAGAATACAGTACTCAGGTTTGTGTGCATTTTCTTGTCGTCACCGGATCTGAGTCATCAAATCTGATCCAAACAGGTCGAAATTGATGTCGACGCTCCATATTGAGTTAACCAGAAATTCTTTGATGTCGAAGCCCATTATCCCACAATGTTACGACATTTTGCCCAAGGGCGGTGAAGTGGCGTTTTTCAGTCACTGTGAGCCAATATTGTTAGGAAACAATTAGTTCAAAAGTATACAAATGTTATTTTTCAAACAATTATGAATTCTCAAGTGGGTACTGAGCGATTTTGGTGGATATTTTTGAAGATTACACTAAAATATTAAACAATTCAAAGGGTGAAAAGACTTTTTTCCAGCACGAATTTTACATAATGTCCCACCGCGTCATTGGCTGTTCCACGCCGTTATCCAAAGTACGGTTCCGAAAACCTTGCATTATGGTAAGTAATTGTGCAAAATTGCAGTTCATCCAATTTAACTTCTCTAACAATATAACGCTTTAAGTGAAAAAAGTTTGAGGGTGGAAAGACTTTCCGCCTATACTGTATCTTTCAGTTTATTAATATTGGTTAATTTCTAGTATTTGACGTTTCATTCACTTCATATCCTAATGAATCCCGACATGGGTAGCAAATTAGTACGGAATGGTAAAAATTACCAGTTGATCGGTATGATTTTCAGACCAAATGGCAGCAACTTTTGTATCAGGAAATTAATATCATACTTCTGACAATGTGCCTTCATGATTGTATATAAAGATTTAATCAATTTGTAATTAATACTTAAATGAATGGTTCATACACTTTGCATAATAAACAATTTGATATCAGCTTGTTTTATTTAGTTATACATGACACAGGTTGCATATACGTACTTATTTAAAACACTTATAAACTAACTCGCTTCAGGATTCATTCAACCCACCTAAAATTCTCATTATCAAATGGAGTAATTGTGATCTGAAAATATTAATAAAAAATAAATAAAGGTTTTTCCCACCTCAAAATAATTGTTGTAGTAAATACATACTTACAATACAATGGTGCGAAGTGTAACCCTCCGATTTGGTTGAAATTTTGAAATTACGTGGTCCATGTCAATACAACCAACTTTTCTTGAGGTGGTTTGTGCGATAGTCAATATTTACCATACTATTTGATCGCAAAAAATGAAAATATGCGATTTTTTAGCACTGGAAGGGAATTGAAGTTGAGTTTGCTTCCACGACCTGGTAAAAGTCGTTCCTTTTTCAACTTTACCCTCAAATATTTTGAATAATTCCGACCATCGCACAAACTGCCTTAAGAAACGTACCTTGTATTGACTTGGACCACATAATTTCAAAATTTCAACCAAATAGGAGGGTTACACTTCACACCATCGCATTATAAGTATTAATTAACTTGATTTCCCTACCTTATCTGCCCCGTTGGGAAACAATTTCACCAATCGATCATACAAATCCGTCCTGGCTGCCATGTCATCCGCTCTTTTCACATCGTAGGAAACAATCATCTCAACTCTTTTCACCGACTCGGACCCTCCAGAACCACCTTTTGGAAGAAACTGCTCCACACTGGGAAAACCATCCCAGGAATCCGAACACACGTGCAAGCTTTCCAAGACCGGAAAACTCTTGCGGTAATCAAACTTCCCGCCGTCGCGACGCTCAAATGAAATCCTGTTATTCATTCCCGTCCTTATCTGCAAGACTTTCATGGCCTAAAATACCTCGGGGAATTTCCATTTTCTTATCTTATCAAAGGCGGTAGAGAAATGAATGGAAATCTTTTCCAGCGTGGGGGAATGTTTGTGCAGAAGTTTGTACAGGTTTTCGGGGTGGTAGTCTCCTTTTTGAAATTCGGCATCGTACTGAATTTCAAAGTCCAGTTTTTTTAAAGGAGATGGAATTTTGAGGAGAACCTCGAGCCCATCCGCGTTGAGATCACCTTCCAATGAAAGGGAAGAAAATGATCTGAAATTATATAAGTATTTTAGCATACCTGTTCAATTTTGTTTCCTTCATTCAAAATTCCTTCCCTTGGAAATTCAATTTGAACTATTCATTCATTCAATGAATAATTCATTTATCATTCATTCGCCCATGTATTTCACATGGGGCAAAAAATGAACTCATTCATTGTGAAAAGTTGAATTAGTCATTCATTCATTTCGGTATCATTGAATGAATATGAACAGGTATGTATCTTACAATGGAGGTCTCCCAGCATATGCTCACAGATTTGGACCAAACTAGCGTCAATCGATCACAAATATAATTAGTATGAAATTTGCAAATGGAACTATCTGCCAATGCGCAGGTTTGGCGGAGATATTTGCGTCCAAAGCGGGTAAAATGCGCAGGAAATTTGGAAAATGAAAATTATGCCAGCCTTTTGGTACGTTTTCTCCTCTTTTTATGCAAATATCTCCGCCAAACCTGCGCATTGGCAGATAGTTCCATTTGCATACTTTATGTTATTTTGGGTTAAATGGGATTAACAAAGTTTCCCTTACCAGTTAGGTCGAAATCTATAAAAAGAATATATACTTGAAAGGGGCCGTCCATAAATTACGTAGCGCAAGAGGGGGGCGGGCGGATCTAAGGCTCCAATGCTATCGTGCCTATGTTACACATGTTAAAGGGGTGGAAGGCTGGTCTAGAAAATCGCTATTTTTGCTTTACGTAATTTATGAACGGCCCCAAAGTACTTAACAACAGGTCCTTTTCATGCAAGAGCGTATATTTAGTTAAGGCATATGTTTTACACTAGCTTAAATTCATAAATGTAACGTTGGTAGAAATAGTGGGCAAATACATGATTGGGCTCAGCCTTAATTTTCCTGAGTTAAGTATTCTCCTCCAATTAGTATTTTCTTTAACCTGGTGTTGAAAGGTCGTCATAATTCTTATCTACTGTCAATTGAAACCCTCAGCAAAACTAAATACATGTTAGCGTGTTTCTTCTTGAAAAATCGAAATTTGGAAAACATTATTTGAAAATATTATTCGATTCGGAAATAAGAAATAAGTCAATATTTACAAATTAAATTCCGAACTCATTGATTCTAAATCTCCCCCACGTTTACTCGGAGGCGGAATAGGAAACAAAAAAATTGGAAAATTCCATATAAAATTTATAAAAATAACTATTCTTATTCCATTTCTGGACCTACTAAATTTAACATTTCACTTGCAAATTACTCAAACCTAACCAAACTCATTTTTTAACTCAGGAAATTAAGACAACTTTAAATAAATGTTAAATGGACTCATTCCATATACATAACCAACTTATAAAAATTATAAATTTTTAGTTAATTTCGAAAGTAATTCAGTATGTTTCCATGTCTTACAGGATAATTATGGACTGTTCCCAGTGTTCCAAAAGTTTCAAAACGATACAACATCTAAAGCTTCACGCACTCACGCATGATGAAAATGCTCACGTGAATTGCAAAGTAAGTACATGAAGCAAACAATGAGGAGGTGTGAGGTGGTTATCGCCGATATCCACCGGATTAATTTTAGATTGTTCACCCTCAGGAATAATACATATGAACCTATTTTTTCATTTTCCTGAATGGCCATGTTTACGCCCGTGGCGGAATTTTAAAAAAATGTCAGTAAAAGTCCGGATTTTTAAAAACGGTGTAACTTTTCGAATTTTAACCCGATATCAAAACTTAATGCTCAGAATGACTTCCCTGAAATTGTAAAAATTCATTTATTAAAAATTTAAAAAATTTGATGGTTTAATGCCATTTCTGAATTTTTTAAAGTGATATGATAATTTTTTACAAATTGAAACTTTTTAAAAAATGAATTTTTATAATTTCAGGGAAATCATTCTTAGCAAAAATTCGGCTTAAAGTTGGAAATTGTGTCAATATTCGAACTTATGTATGGGTGAACTTATGTATGTATTTTTGAGTATGAACAATTTATAATTAGTCCGGTCGATATCGGCGATAACCATCTCACACCTACTCATCGTGAGTTTTTCTTTTCCACTGTTACCTTGAAAAATAATTAATTCCTTAAATATTTCCAGATTTGCGGTAAAACATTGAAAAATCACAGAGTTGTAACGACACATATGTCATATACGCATAGAAATAAGGAAAAACCAATGTGTAAGATCTGCCCTCGAGAATTTGGCAGCCTGGGAAATCTTCGCAATCACATGACAAGAATTCACAGCGAGGGAGGAATTCCCCGCAACCCGTGCACATTTGTGGGATGTGGAAAATCCTTTAAAACCCCACGTGACGTGGAGTTTCACGTGAAAAGAATGCACCCAGAGAGGACACGACCCCGCCACCCTTGCACGTTTGTGGGCTGCTCGAAAACATTTCAGAACAAGGCATACGTTGCAACACACTTTAAGCAGGACCACGGCGAGAATCCGGTTCGATTTTATTGTACCTTTTGTGGGAAGGAATTTAAAGAAAGGCAAAACCTTAGACGCCACATTGATACGCATACAAAAGAAAAAAGCTATAAGTGTCCCACCTGTGGGAGGAGTTTCTCAACGTCGGATCATTTCAGGAGGCATCAGGTACATATAAAAATTAATACAGGGTGGTTAAAATGTCACGCTACAAGGGAAAATTTTTCAATGAGAAAAATTCGTTAATTTCCATTAGTTATCAAAATTTTGAGACATTGAAGACTTTTGTCATCAGTTTTGATAAAATTATCAAAATCCCAAATCTTGTAACTAATGAAGATTTGGAGACTTTTCCCATTCACAAATTTGCCATTGTAACGTGACATTTAAACCACCCTGTACAGCATAAGTTGCTACCTATATAAAATTATGCACACGCTAAATAATGATGTATACAACCACTTGAGGAAAACGAAATTGTGGAAAATTTGCTCAACCTTGATGATATATCGTCGTCCTAATTCTAAAAACCCCTAAGTGCAGTCTCATCTTAATTTTAAATAGCCCTACGTGAAAATGCTTCGTAATTTTAAAAAGCCCTAAGTGCCGTCCCTCGTTAATTTTAAAAACCCCTAAGTGTATTTTCGCATTAATTTTAAAAAGCCCTATGTGATACATAAAAACGAGTAAAAAGCCCTAACTGCAATTCAAATTTAAATTTCAAATTATGCATAATTAGATGTGATAAAATACTATACATAGATGTGATAAACTCACACTGTGTGAAATTTTTTTACCACAAATTAAATTTTGAAGATATGTATTAAACTTACCTGTGCCATTCTTACTAGGATTACAAATTTTTCTCAAAAATTTCAAAAATTTCAGAAATTTCGAATTTTTCTGATAAATTTCAGAAATTTCGAATTTTTCTGAAAAATTTCCCAAGTTGAGAATTTTTCTGAAAAATTTCAGAAATTTCGAATTTTTCTGAAAAATTTCTCAAATTTCGAATTTTTCTGAAAAATTTCCCAAGTTGAGAATTTTTCTGAAAAATTTCAGAAATTTCGAATTTTTCTGAAAAATTTCTCAAATTTCGAATTTTTCTGAAAAATTTCTCAAATTTCGAATTTTTCTCAAAAATTTCTATTTTTTTCATTTGAATTTTTTTACAAATAGAAAATTTTGGAAATTTGACAGTGAAGGTGAGAATTAAAAAAGTCCACTATATTTCGTGAGCGTCCTTTGTAAAACATCTAAGAATGGCAGAATCAAAATTTAATTTCAAAATTTAATTTGTGATAAAAAACGTCACACAGTATGAGTTTATCACATGTATAGTATTTTATCACATCTTATTATGAATAATTATGCATAATTTGAAATTTAAATTTGAATTGCAGTTAGGGCTTTTTACTCGTTTTTATGTATCACATAGGGCTTTTTAAAATTAATGCGAAAATACACTTAGGGGTTTTTAAAATTAACGAGGGACGGCACTTAGGGCTTTTTAAAATTACGAAGCAGTTTCACTTAGGGCTATTTAAAATTAAGATGAGACTGCACTTAGGGGTTTTTAGAATTAGGACGACGATATTGCTATAATGAAGTATAAAAAATAGTCAATTAGCTTGTACAAAATTTATTTTACACAGTCTTGGACAAATTTTATTCAAAAGTTTAGTTATCATGATTTTACTCAATGTTGTAAAAACTTTGCATAAATTCCTGAGTAATTGTTGTACAACATTGGGGAAGTATTGACCAACTCAGTTGGCTGTTTAACGCTCATTCAATCTGGGGAGAATTTACTCATTAAGAGAGCAAAATCATACCACACATTGAGCAAAATTCAGTCAAATGTTGTGGTGGTTCAGCCCGTGCGGCGGTCTTTGTCAGTTGGAAGCACGAGACCAACAGAACCAGTCAAAAAGAATTAATTTTGCCATTTTGAGTTGCAAAATTAAATTTACACCAAAATGGGTGATTTTGTTGAAAAAGTTCTCGAGATTGCAGGGCTGGTGGAACTCATCGCAACATTCAAAGGTAAAACTTAATTGTAAATCAGTATTAATTAATTTAATAATATTTTTTTTCAATCTTGCAGATCAAGACGTGGACGCAAACTGCCAGATTGCCAAGTCGGATCGCTTGAAGAGCGTCTTTTAGCTGATATCGTTCCATCAATTGGACGGAGGCTAAAAATTATTAATGCAATCAGGGAAGTCGCCGCCGTAAGTACCCTTCAAAATAAACGACTGTTTAATTGTAGCATTTGCAAATCAAATTTCCAAGAATTCAATACATATTGGAATCATTTAATAAGTTTTCACGAAATTAGTAAAGGAACGGCTAGAATTAATTGTCCTTTGTGTTCTACAATTTTTACTAGCACCGAGACACTTAAAAATCATGTAAAACTCTTTTGTCCAAAGAATAGAAGTAGATCAGTAAATTCAAATCTAGCTATACGTCAGGATATTTCTCAAATTACTGAAGAGGAAATTGGACCTAATTTGTTGGCAGAGATTACTACAGACTATAAATTAGCTTTTGTCAAAACACTA